GTTGCAGTGAGCCGAGAACATGCCATTGCACTTCAGCCTAGGCAACAAGAGTGAAACTCTGTCTCAATAAAAAGAATAAGTCAGGAAAAGATGAACATCTGAAGCTTCCAGGTGGGTGGGGGTGGCCCTGGGGAAAGGGTTGTGGAAACACCTGGGGTTCGAAGTGGGAACAAGGACTTGTGGTGAGCCAATAACCCCCACTGCCTCTTTCAGAGCTTATCTTGGAACAAAACAATAGAAATAGAAAGAGTGGGCAGGGACCACCTCCACTTGCGTGCAGTGCCACAGAAGTACTGGGAAAATAAAAAAGAGAGCCTGTGAATTCCACAGGGTTGATCTGCGGGCAGTACCTTCTGAATTTTGGCCAAGAGTTGGGAGGGTGGGTAGAGGGATTTCGGAAGGACAGGGAAAGGATGTGGCAATAAAGCAATAGCCCCAGAGCCTGTAATGCGGGGGCCAAGTTGTGTTTGGCCACAGTGCCTTCTGTCATGCTTCTGCCACCCTGTGCTGAGGAATACATTTGCTTAAATGTCAATGCCTGAGAAAGTAAATACAGCTGTCCATTTCCATCAACTTGCAGCAATTAATCTGGCTTTCACTCAGTGGAAGACAAGGCTGTTTTGCATTAAGTCATGAAAGGTTTGCTTGTCTCACCATCAAGTGTTCACGTATATTTCCAAAGGACAACAATAGCACCCTTTCATGGAGGGCAGAAAAGAATATCTATCAAAAGACTGTGGGCCAGGATATCTGCAAAGCCAAACTGCTCTTAAACGCTGGAGGGCAAACAAGAAGACAGAAGGATGTGACAAAGTCACCATGTGCTATAAAACAGATTCCAGAATTTGCTGGTTGGAAGGAATCTTTAAGGTCAACCAGTCTCCTTCATGCTTCTAGCAAAGCTGCCTACAAAATCTAACCATCTTGAGAAAAAACGCACATGTCATGCCTGGCTTTTGGCATCAAATATTCTTTTTAATAAATTAAGAAATGCTGGCAATGAAAAACAACTCTCTGCCTTCTAACCCACGAGTTCCTGCCCTTCTCTCCCAACCCCCTTGATCACACTAGTTGTCTCTCCCCCCTCAAAGTAGGTTCCTTTAGGAAGTGACTGATTTTTTGCAGCACCCAACATGCTGGCCGGCCCACAGAACGAGTATTGTGAATGAGACCCCAGTCTATTGAAAAACCGTAGCTTTCCTGCCACCTACTGGCTTCGTGATTTGGGACAAGTTACTTAGCCTTTCAAAGCCAGTTTCCTCACCCATAAAGCCCTCTCACTAGAGGGCTGTTTGAGGATTAACCATGTTAATATATGTAGATTACTTGGAAGGCTGACTAGCACAATAGTAAGGATTTCCTAAGTGCTGACAATTTTTATCATTCAAGTAGTAAATTAATCTATTATTCCATCCCATGAATCACACTGTCCCCGAAACATACTACATTAGAACAACGTTTCTCTTTTTTTGTTGTTTTTTTTGAGACAGGGTTTCACTCTTGTCACCCAGGCTGGAGTGCAGTGGCACAATCTCGGCTCACTGCAACCTCTACCTCCTGGGTCCAAGCGATTCCCCTGCCTCAGCCTCCCAAGTAGTTAGGATTATGGGTGCATGCCACCGTGCCTGGCTAATTTTTGTATTTTTAGTAGAGATGAGGTTTCACCATGTTTGCCAAGAGGCTGGTCTCAAACTCCCGACTTGAGGTGATCTGCTCGCCTTGGCCTCCCAAAGTGCTGGCCAGGTTTCTCAATTTCAGCACTACTGACATTACTTTGCTGTGGGAGCCTGTCCTGTGCATGGGAAGGTGTTTAGCAGCATTCTTGGTCTCTACCCACTAGGTGCCAGAAGCAACACCCCACCACCATCCCACATTCTGACAACGAAAAATGTCCCCTAGCGAGGAAATCTCCCTATTGTACTAGAACATGCAAATCGGGGATGGAGAGTCTGGTCACCATACCACGTAATTTCCCGCCATCCCATTCTCCCTCCATACAGACACCTTGGCCACCTCTTGCTCACCACTCAGTTGTCTTGGAGGGAATAAGTGATAGGTGCTGTAGATATCGTTGGAGAACTGCAGCTGGAGCTCAGGGCTGCCTGTCAGGAGCTGAGCCACCTGTTCCACCTGAAATGGCGTCTTCTCCAGGATCACAACGGCATCCTCTCCAGCCCCATCCCCAGAGGCTTCATTCACCTGTGGGCAAGGGCATCATCAGTGGGCTCAAGGGCAGAGCCACGATGAGACTCTGGAGAGCAGAGACAGAAGCTCCCAGGGCCTTTGAAATCCTAGAACTTGGGATTTCCTTCTCTGAAGTCTTCCCTCTGGGAAAGTCTAGCCAATGGCATTCACATTTCTTTTTTCATAGAAGTCATCTCTC